TTGAATTTACAGCAAAAAACGTGACCGGTGGCCTCAAACAGAAGCTCAGTGGCTGCGAGGCCCGTTCAGTAATCTCTCTATCCCTGCAACTGATGATTATTTTCATCTTTGATTAGCCTTAATCTTGAATAAAGGCCTCATTTAGTCCATAAATACCAGAGAAGTAATGACTTCAGTCGTCCAACCAGCTGGTACCTTTAGACACCGATGTAAAAAACAATAAACACAAACCCAGAGTTGGTTTATTAGAGGGAGGAACATGTGTTCATGTTGTCTTGTTATCCATCAGTTTAGGCTGAAATGTCAAATGTTTTCTGTTCATAACTTCTTTGCTGATGTCTCGATCAGTCAGACAATCTGCACATCTGTGGGTTTTAGGCTGTTACTCAGACAAACCAAACCTCGTACCTGCCGTTTAATTTATACGTTAATGAAAGAAAAACACGATCAACAAATAAACTAATCAGTCGATGCCGTCCTTGTTGTTTAAGTGAAGCTCCTGCATTTTATTCAACCTGTCAGCATCGCTCACTAGTTTACTGCTTAACTAACTGATCTAAAGTCGTTCTTAGTTCCCAACTTAGACATCGGAGGTTTAATCAGGATTAAAATAATAAAATGTATGTGTTTATCTTGTCCTCAAAATTGTCTTTATTTCAGTAGAATAATTTAGTTAATTTTAATTATTTAAAGTTAAGATCTTACAGATGTTTATAATCTTGAGTCCCACTAGACACCAAATGGATCCTCGACGAGACAAATCACATGTTGTTTTGTTTTTATTTTTTAAATAAAATCCTAACTGGAAGCTAAAACTGAGCAGAACGACAATATTACCCTCATTAATTAGCAAAACTAGAAATATTTGTTCTGCAGTCTGTGGTTGGTCCTGATGGATAAATGAAATATAATCTGCAGTAAATATCAGAGTCTGACTTTATATTGAATATGCAGAGTAGAATATCTGTTACAAGCTTGTCCAGGGTTTTAGCTGCTTTATTGTTATATTTTTATTTGATTAATAAATTGTTCAAACCGTAAAATGGAGGAAAATAAAATTCCTAAAGCCCAAAGTGACGCCTTAAAATGGCATTTTTGTTCAAAATAAATTGTTTTCTTGGTTAATCAGTTGATCGTTTTCTCTGTGCAATACCTGGAAATAATAAAACACGTCACAGCTTTTCAGAAAATATTCGTAATTACAAAAAAAACAACAAAAACACAGGACTCTCGCTTTAATTGTTAATTGAACTTAATGATTTTCTCCAGGAAACAATAAAGCTGCAGTGCAGTTATCAACAATTAAATTAGTCACTAACTATTTGAATAACTGATTAATGAGTTTCGTTTTCTTTAAACTGAATGTCTTTGGATTAAACCGGATGTGTCGTCTTGGGAGACTCTGCAGAACGTTTTATTGACCAAACAGCCGATCGATATGGCGATCGACAGATTATCCAGCAGCGATCATTAGCTGCAGCTTGTGTAAACGAGTTCTTCAGCGTCGGCCCTCCGTCCTGTTTACTCGTTCATGGTCCCATTAAATGTGGGTCACTGCTGGTCAGCCGCTGACCTCAATTAGGGCTGCAGCCTATTGTGACTCGTGTCACTTGATCGTCGGCTGCCACAGCTTTCCTCTGCACCACCGGACACCTGGTTCTCATCCACGCTGTCAGCTGCAGCAACAGATCTTCGCAGCTGCCGGATTAATGAGTTTTAGCTGAAAAACAAACCCTTAAAGTGTGTTGTAGGTGTAGAAATATTGGGCCTTGAGTTGGATTTAGCCGCAGAGGGAAGCTGAGGAGGCGTCCGTCATTGTGTAGCACAGAGCTCGTGACTTATCGCCTCGAAATAGGCTGCTTTGAAATAGGAGGTGCATCATATTAGCACAGTTTTATGGGGTTAGGAAGAGAACGTGTCACCTAAAACCTGCGACCAGAGAGTGTGTGGAGTTGTTAAAGTTTAAAAGTTTGGTGTGTTGTTGGAACGCAGCTGCTACAGATCTGACTTTACATGTGTTTTAATCAGGTTAAAATCTGTGTTAGCAAATGTTTAAAGTGGAATAAATCATCAAATGTACCCTCTGAGCTGTGAACAGTTCAGATAAACGTAAATAAAACAGCACACAGAGATGTCACGGTGTCGGATTAAGTTTCCTTCCTTCACCTGATCTTCCTGAACGTCACGGCGGCTCAGATTAACGTTCATCCGCCAGTACGTTACCATGAGGTCAGCTAAAGTCCACATCAGTACGCTGAAGCATCTCTAAAATGCTGTTGTTGTATTATTCAGTTAATTCTTCAAAAGTAGTCGGCATTTAAAAAAATCTTTATTAATCCTGATTGAGCCAGATTTTGCTCAGAAAACAGAATTACATGAGAATAAGTGCAGCGCCTAAAAGTACATCACTGAAAATAATAATAAAAAAAACATTCTCTATACCAGGACTGACACATAAACATGTGTACGTACAGATATTTTTCATTTTATTTTAATTTTTTTGTACGTTATCTCTGTCTAACGGCGTGTTTTTGCCGTCCGGTACACGTGAGGCCCTCGTATGACAGATGCTGTATAGATAAAGGTGGGCTGGTTCAAGGTTAGAAGACCTTCAGTGTCAAGGTTGCAATGATAAACGGTTGTTTACGGTGATGCTGTGTTGAAGTTCAGTGATTTATCAACCCGTCCATCCACCCTGACCTCCATATCTGCTTCACCCTTGTAGCCACTAGAGGGCGCTGAACAGTGAACTCTGCAGCATGATGAGCTGCTGCACAAATGACAGATGTGATCGTTCCTATGGGAGGACGGTCTCCTTTTTTTGACTCTGTGAATTTAATATTTTATTAGGATTCCAGCAACAGATTTTTTTTTTTAATCAAATAATTCCGTCACCATCCCATAAAATAATCAATTTATGACCTACCTCAACGATATGGCGAGCTTTAGGGTTGTGTAAAAGTACCCCTCAAAGTCTGTCCACAACATTTGGATGAAAAAAAAATCTGCTGTCCACTAAATTATAAAAAAGATTTGCTTTCCAAGTTGTGTCTCAGTATCTGAATCCAGACAATGAGCTAAAAGATGCTAACATGCTCCGTATAGCTGAGGGGGACAAACTGATGATGTTCATCACGACAAGCTGCTGCAATCTGATCCTCTGTGAATGTGAAATATTTATAGAAGTCTTTTGTTATTGCTAAAAAAGAAGCTAATGTTAGCCTGTAGTGCTAATTTACATGCTAGTCTGATGTGGACACACTGGATGCCGATGAGCGATGCCATCACAGCAGAAGGTCATTAAAACAAACATCCAGCTACTTCTAGAAAATATAAGAACATGCACAAGGCTTGTATATAAACTAATCAGATCCTGATAAGTGCAAAAGAAACAAGTATTGTAAAGTAAATGCAGGAAAAGGCTGAGTATCTGTTTCATTGCGTCCTCAGTTTCTCATCCTCTTGCGTTTACCTGTAGAACAGTGATAGTTATTTTCTGCTTTCTGTCTCACAGCCTTCCTGCTGCTTGGCTCCTCCCACTTCCTGTGGTTTTCGGCAGGCGTGCTGCTGATGGGCGTGGCTCACGCCGTCATCACCGTCAAAGGGACTCACCTGGCCAGCCACGGAGCGCTGAGCGAGTCGCAGGCCTGGGCCAAGTTCTGGGCCGTCTTCTTCATCGAGGTGAGATGTGCAGAAATAAACTGGAGATTATATATCTGGAGGGAGTTGTTACAGCATTTTACCCTCGACCTTTACAAGCCTT